CACCCTCAGCTGGGAATTTTTTCCACCACTCTGAACATGCATGTCTGCCAATGACTGCAAGAACACCTGGAGTATTTTTAGCAAATAGGTAAACTCGAAAATCCTGAATCCGGGAGTAATCACCATGGACGTGTGTGTGTGTGTGTGTGTGTGCACACTTGTGTGTCTGGATGGTGCTCCGGAGGCAAGGGCGGCTTGGGATGCTGGCAGCCTGGGGTGTGCACAGCACTCGTACCTGTGTGGCTTTCCCCCACCAGGTCCCATCAGTCTATAAATAACTGCAGCTGTGTTCACAGACATGCAATTAACCTGCAGGAAACACGTCTACACTGGGGTTTTCTGTATTAATTTGAAGAGACGGGTTCAATGCACCTTGATCCAAAAAGGACAAGACAAAGGAAGGCCGAGGTCCCCTTCCCCCCTTACAGGAGGGACTCTTCTCCCGAACAGGGGTTACTGGGAACTTAACAGCTCCATTCCAACTACTCATTAAACAGACGCTGAAAACGCTTGAGCAAATAGCCCAGCACCGGTGACATAAGCACGTAGGGATAAAACCACCAGAATAGAAGGCTTTGGGGTACGCTCTCCCAACCCGGGACAGGTTAACTAGTGGGGAGCAATCAGACGACGAAAGATGGGTTCTGGGTATTGGGGCCCAGCGCCCACATTGAGAGCAGACCCCTCAGGAGCGTCAGGAGGCCCCCCTGCGGCCCAGACCCCAGGAACCAGACGTGCCCATCCTCATGCCCCTCCCCGACCCTTCAGTCAAGCGTGTGGCCTGCTGAGCTCGGAGGCCCTGAGCCCTTTTGGCTCGGGTACCTTCAAATCCAAGAAGGCCTCTAAGCCCAGAAGACGAGGCCACGCCAAAAGCCGGAGCAGGTGCTTGGAGCTGAGCGGCCGCGGACGAAATCCCGCCTCGGCCACTTCCTCCTCCTGGCCCTTCCTTCCCCTTCAGATCTTGAGTGCAGAGCCTCATCCCCGCCATATCCAAGCAGACTGCAGGCTACAGCAGACTGTCATTGAGCCATGCCAACCAGGTGACCGAGAAAGGGCTCCGGGTGGAAGACCGACTGCGTGAACGAACGAACGGATGTAGCTGTGAGACCTTGGCCTCTCAGAGCCTCATCTTCTCATCTGTAAAGTGGGGAGAGCAGACCTTGCCTCCTAAGGCTGCTGGGAGGATTCAATTCAAGAGTGTCCAGCAAAGGCCGCCCATAGTACCCACTGCTGTCGAGTCAATCCCAACTCATCCCCAGAGGCCTTCCAAGACTGTAATCTGAAGGGCAGCAGCCTGCCGCATCTTTTCCCTGCAAAGAAATTGCTGGCTTCAAACTGCGAAATTTCTGTTAGCAGCTGAGCGCTTTACCACTGCACCACCAGGGCTACCTCTGCCTGCAGTAACCACGACCAAACCTGTTGTGGTTGAGTAGATCCCAACTCACAGCGCCCCTAGAGGACAGAGTGGAACTGCCCACAGGGTCTCCAAGGCTGTGATCTTCATGGAAGCAAAGCCCAAACCACACCCACTGCGGTGGAGTCCATTCCAACCCACCACACCCCTAGAGGACAGAGTGGAACTGCCCACAGGGTCTCCAAGGCTGTCAATCTTCACAGAAGCAAAGCCCAAACCACACCCACTGCCCTGGAGTCCATTCTGACCCACAGCGCCCCTAGAGGACAGAGTGGAACTGCCCACAGGGTCTCCCAGGCTGTCAGTCTTCACAGAAGCATCTGCCTCATCTTTCTCCCAAGCACCAGTCTTTCAGTTAGCAGCCAAGCTCTAACCACTGTGCCACCAGAGCTCCACTGTTGTTGTTAGGTGTCGTCAAGTCACCTTTGACTCACAGCAATCCTGTGTAAACACTGCCCGGCCCTGCGCCAGCCTCACAATCTTTGCTATGCCTGAGCCCATCATTGTAGTCACTGTCTCAATCCATCTCGTTGACCCCTCTTTCGCTGACCCTCCACTTTCCCAAGCACGTATCCTTCTCCAGGGACTGGTCCCTTCTGACAACATGACCAAAACAGGCCCTCAACTTTAGCCCTGAGAAGGAGGCACCTTCAGAAAGTCACGGTCGAAGCCACGGTCCTCTGTACCGCCTCCCATGCACGCGAAAGCTGGACAAACAGGACAGAAGAGCTGATGCACTGGGTAGTGGTGTTGGTGAGGAGCACTGAAAATTGTACCACGGACGGCCAGAGGAACAAACAAATCCGTCTGGAAGGAAATGCGACCAGAATGCCCCTCAGACGTGAGGACGCGGGACTGCCACTCATTTACCTTGGACGTGTCACCAGGAAAGACCAATCGCTAGAGGAAGACATGGTGTTTGATAAAGAAGAGGGTCAGGGTTCAAACACACCAATGATCATGAGGAAGGCGCTGTACGACACACGACATCGTCCCCAGGTCGTAGCCTAGCATGACGGGAACCAACAAGGCAGCCCGCAGCAGTGCCGTGAAGGACATGCGTGAGGACACCTTGCTCGGGGTCCACCTGTTTGTCCCCCTGGACTTAGAGAAGAACCCCTGCTGGCACAGTGGTCAAGCACCAGGCTGCCAACCAAAAGATCGATGGTTCAAACCCAGCAGCCATCCTACAGGAAATTACAACCTTGGAAACCCTATGCTCAAACTCACTGCCACTGAGGCAATCTCAACTCATAGTGACCCCTCTTTGGCTTTCCAAGGCTATATCTCTACAGAAGTAGATTGCCCAGCCTTCCTTCTGAGGAGTGGCTGGTGGATTTGAACCGCCAGCCTTCTGGTTAACAGTCACATGCCTTAAGCACTACGCCACAAAAAAACAAACCAAACTCACTGCCATCAAGTCATATCCAACCCATAGGACCCCTCCTTGGGTTTCCGAGGTGGTATCACTATGGAAGTAGATTGCCCCATCTTCCTTCTGAGGAGTGGCTGGTGGATTTGAACTGCCAGCCTTCTGGTTAGCAGTCAGATCCCTTAGGCACTGCACCACCAGAGCTCCCTGGAAACTCTATGGGGCAGTTCTATTTGGTTTAGTTCTACTGGGTCTATAGGGTTGCTATGAGTAGTATCAGATTTGGTTCGGGTCTGGTTAGACTTACGCAATGGCAGTGTGGCTCAGTGGGAGCATGGGTGGCCATGTTGGGAGGCATCCCAGTTCTGCAGCCTTGGCCCAGTTGCTCAGCAACCCCGCCCCAGCCTTTGCTAGCCCATCTACAAATGGGGATGGTTATCACCCCAGCGCAGCCCTGCCCTAGGGCACTGGAGGGCTGGGCCCTCAGGAAGGAGGGGCCCGGGCCCTGGCAGAGTCTAAACCACTTCCCAGCTTCTCACAGAGCCAGAGCCAGCTCAGGGTTAAGCGAGCCCCAGGCTGCCTCTGCTGGGGCTCAGGTTTCTTCCTGCAGAACTTGACGGAGTCCAGCCATAAACACTGGGCTGCTCTCTGACAGTGGCCCCCAGCGGCTGCAGGGGTTGCAGCGCTAATTACAGGCAGCCCAGAGCTAGAGCAGAGCAGTGGCTGGGCAGCCAGACCGAGCAGGCCCACAGCTTAGCACTGAGGTCTCCTGAAGACTCCCAGAAGATCCCCAGAGCCAGCACCGGGGCCCAGGCACCCTGGGGCCAGGCGGCGGGCCTGGGGGCCTAGCTGTGGCCCCCGTTCCCTGAGCTTTCTGTCTGTGCATTCCAGGCAGAAGCCCAGTGAGAAAGCAGAATTTCAGCTGCCACCAGGTCCATGCCATCACTGTCTGTGTTGGGGGGCCTGAAGCTGTGCCCCCCAACCCCATAGCAAAAGCCCCAGGGAGCTCTGGCCTTGGAGCGGGGACTCCACGGAGACGGCCCCAAGCCAACTCCACTGGGAAAGGTGAGTGGGCCAAAATGAAGGACAAAACCAACCCAAGAAAGCCAGTTTTCTTTTCAAGGTTCAAGTCCAGAGGAAGCCGCACCACGCCTGATGACAAATCCAATAGCCCAGCCCCCTGCACCACCCTCTCCTTCCCTGGTCCCTGGCCCTTCTCCTTGTTCTCTGCTAATAACACTGAAACCAGGAGGAAGGGAGCTCACCACCCATCACAGGTGAGGTGGCCACGGCCCATACCAGGCACAGCGGAGGAGGGGCTGGGTTGGGAGGAGAATCTGGGGGACAGGGCAAACATAGCCCTCTGCCTGCAGAATTCCCAGGCACCCCAGGCCTGAGCAGTTGTTGGGTTTTGCCTTTGGGGGCGGGGGTTGGGAAGGGTAGACAAGCTGCCTGTCGAAGCCTGGTGGCCTCTCTCTGCTCATCTGTACAATAGGCGGCCATGCCCAATTGCCAGCGAAGGAGGGCGAAGCCAATGTAGACACAGATGGGAGCCCACCAGAGCCAAGCACACAGTAGGTGCGCAGCCCCCAGGTATGCAGACGGCTGTTGCTGAGAACAATGGAACCGTGTTGCCCTCCCCCCCAACCCCCACCCCCACACACACTCTCCCCACAATATCTCACTCCCTCCTGTGGCCACAGCTAAAAGGTTCCCTTTGATTCTGACTTTATCCCTCAGAGTTAATGGGCAACACATTCTCCCAAAGAGAAAGTCAGCAATTTGGACGACTCCAGCCACGCACGCAGACAACCAAGGAATCTTCTAGTCTTAGCAGGGAGGGGTGGCCAGGCCAAGGGCTGGAAACCACCTCAGATGTTAGGCGTTATCCAATTAAGCCTTAGCTAAACAGCCCAGAGAGATGAAATCTGGAGGCTGAAGAACTGCCTTCTGGGGGCAGCCTCTGCACAGGCGGGGGACCCCCTGATCCATGGAGCCAGGGCACTGGTTCCGGGACAGCTCTTACCAACGCCCCCTGGGGACCCCAAAAAACACCTCTTGGGCTGGGGCTGGTACTGCATCCCAGGTCCCCACCTTGGCCCGGCCCCCCTGGGAGCAGCTGCCACCAGCTGCGCCCACAGCCCAGGGGGGCAGCCGGGCGCCGGCCCCCCGCCATCCCGGGAGCCCGCCCCCCACCGCGGCGTCGTCTGTTACCTGACAACTGACACTGGCATCCAAAGGGGGCCGGGGCCTCCGTCTGACCCTCACCCTGAGCGCTGTCGCCCGAGAGCGGGCGCGTGCCGCAGCACGGCAGGGAAAGGCAGGGCGGGAGGGCGCCCAGCGCGCGCAGAGGCGGCGTGATCACGGATGTGTGAGGGTGGGAGGAGGCAGCGATGGGGGCCATCGCTGGCAGCTGGGCAGGCCTGCACGGCCCTGGAGAAAAAACAATAGAAAAGACTGGTCAGTCGGGCCCTGGACCGGACGGGGGCCGGGGGCGGCGCGGGGCCCGGGGCAGGGGCTGCAGGCCTCCCTTCCAAGGGAGTGTGGGTCCCTGCGGGGAGGACAGCTGGGGCGCAGGGCAAGACGGGGGCCAGGGCGAAGGGGCAGGAGCACGGAGGGAGGCCTAATTCCACAGCTGCCAGGTTGGGCTGTCTTAGGGCCAGGACCCCCGCCCGGAGGACCCAATGCGCGGGCGGACAGACAGGGCTGTCAGGGCCCCCAGGCCAGACCCCTGCAGGGCACGTCCTCTGAGCATCCGGGCACTGGCCACCCTCCAGCAGGGGCCCCTCTGCAGTCCACAGTCCTCCACGAGCCCGGGCACCAAGCACACAGCACCCCCGCTGGCGACTGCCCTGCAGAAGGCTTGGGAAGACCGACCGCTGGCTCCGAAAACCCTGGCACTGCCCAGCACCGCTCTGGACGCCTAGGCCTGGCTCAGGGCACCTCCCCAGGTCCGCCGACGACACACGCAGGGTCCCGGGACTGCCTTACCCCGCCCCCCGCCGGCTTCCTTGGCTCCCCAGCAAGGCCTGCGTTTGATTTGGCCATTTATCGTACACGGCGGGGAGACCACCAGGGCAAAACATTCGTGTGACGCTGTTCCCAAAACCACAAGTGAAGAAGCCCACATTCCCCGGTAAACAACTGAGCGGCGAAGCGTCGCTGAGAGAGAAAGAAACGACTGAAGATGACGGGCGGCCGGCCCAGCCGGTTCTGCAGGCACTCGGGCCGCTTCTTGCTCCCAAGCGGGGCTCCGCCACTCGGGAGCGCGCGCCCCCCGCGAGCCCACTGTGCGCAGGCGCCCGGCAGGCTTTAGCTTGACGGCTCCTCCCAGCAGGTCCTCGGGGCTGGCTTAGGAGCCTCACTGCACAGACTGCAGGCCCAGGACAGATACCAGCAGCCGCCGGACCCAAACGCGGCCTGCGGGGCGTCAAAGCCGTGCTTCTGCGTGTGCCTCCGTGCCCCTCTGCTCTCCAAAACGTGCGCTATCGAGCATTGCGGCGTCGAGACATCGACGGAGACCTCAGCTGCAGGCCACAGCTGCACTGCCAAGAGATGGAAGCTAGGGGCTGGGGCAGGTTGGGCCCTGGACCCGGGGCGTGGCCGAGCACCCGTGAGCAGTCTTAGCCCCAGACTTAGCGTGGCACCCCTTATCCCCAAGCCAGCCCTGGCCAGTCCTCATCCAGTGTACCCCAGCATGGACTACCTGCCCTGTCACTCCAGATCTCAGGTCCCTCTATCGGTCCTCCTTGCAGACTGTGGGGGCTCCAGACACCTCACCTTGGCTGGGACCTTGTGTTGAGTGCCTTTGACAACGGTCCTGTCACTTAGCTCAGCGGGGAGGACCAGCCCCATTCCACAGGGGAAGGCGTATGCTCAAGGAGACCTGAGGCAAGGCTGGAGGTGTCCCTCCTCCCTGTGGGGCTGCAGTGGGGGTGTGGCGACTAGGGAAGCCAAGGGTCCTGGGGCACGGGGAGACCAAGGCCTCAGGGCTCACTCAGGCCCAGGGAGGCTGCCAAAGGCCAGATGCAGGCCTGGGCCCAGGCTTCTGCGTGAGGCCGTGATAAGGCCAGCCCCACCCCCCGTCTGTCATAACTGAGGCACCACCAGGAGCACGTCCGGGCCTGGGGACTGTTTTCCCGAGTGCAGAGGTAATAAGCTGTGGCTTCACGGGGAAGACAGACCAAAGATCAGGAAGAAAGTGGCCATCCAGCCCCCCTCTCCTTCTGGAAAGGTCCAGGCAGGGCCAGTCTGTCAGGACAAATCATACAGCGTGACACCTCAGAGCCCCCCAACCGGGTGAGGGGCTTCCAGGAGGCCTCAGGATGAACTCTGACCTTGCTGAAGAACACGGGCCCCAGGGCCAGCAGAGGGGTGGGGGCAGGCAGCAAGGGCAAGGGGCTTTGCTGGGGCTCACCAAGGAACCTCTGCCCTGGGTGTGTGTTGTGGGGTGTCTGCCCCCTGAAACTCCTAAGCTCTATCCAAAGGCGGAAGCTGGGGCGCCCCTTCTGAAGCTACCACAGAAGCCAAAGATGGGGAAAGGAGCCGGGCGGAGGGGGCCGGGTCCTGTGTGATCTCATTTATATGAACCTGAGGGCACAGGCAAAGACTTAACAGCAGTGGCCCCAAGGCAACAGGCAAGGGCATTGGGACTTGAGGCTGGTGGAGATGGGGCTTCTTAGCGGGGATGAGCGTGTTCAAGAACCGGTGGTGGTGAGGCCTGCACAGCAGTGACACGGGCAGTAAAACCTGCGAAAGCCGGAACCACAGAAGGCAAGAACCTGTCAGAAAAGGAAAGCTCAAGTATCTCCCACCGGTAGTGCAGCGCCTAAGGCACTTGACTGCTATCCAGAAGGCTGACAGTTCCAACCCACCAGCCACTCCTCGGAAGGAAGGTTGGGCAATCTACTTCCGTGATACTGCCTCGGAAACCCAAGGAGGGGTCGCTATGAGTCAGGTCCTACTCGATGGCACATAACAACAACAGAGAACAAGAGAAAAGACTGTCCCCTGTCAAAGGCAGAAAACCTGTGAGGCCGGGAAAAACAAAGCAGTCATGTGGCTTCACTGTACTCAAAAGCCCTAAGAGTTGTCCACCTCAAAATGGCTAAAAGGGTGAATTTCATGTCATGTGACTCTTATCTCAAGAAAAATAATAATAATAAATAGGAATAAACTCCAACAATGAAGACTTTGTCTCTGGGCCCTGCATCTGGCCCAAGGCCCTCCGCATGGAAGGTGCAACTTGCCTTTCAAAGTGCAGCCAGAAATCCAGAACTGACCTAAGACAGGACTTGAGAGCCAGTGCAGCCTACGCCAGACACACGGGAGGCAGGAGCTCGGACGCAGGGGAGCCCGGGTTCCAATCCCTCTCCTACCACTTGCTGCCCTGAGACCAGGCTACGTCATTGATCACAGCCTCAGCTCCCTGTCTTTAATGGGAGGATGCTAGCAACCTGAGGCAGAGCCCGCATGTAGTAACCACGCAATAAACAGTGTCGGGCCCTCGTTCATCTTCAGTGCTGGGGTCTTCCTACTCCCAGTCCGTTCTCCACACGACAACGCAGACTGACAATGTCTGCAAGTGCACTGCGCGCTCAGTAAGGTACCGCCCAGCCCTGTAAGTCTCTCTTCTAGGTACACGCCGGTGCTGTCAGGAAGGCTAACAGACCCACCTGCACCAAGGCATGTGGGCGGGTGACACCAGGCAGACCGCTCAGCCTTAGGTGAGATCCCGAGGACTTAACAATGAGCCCCACTGGCCTGATCTCTTGTCAAGCAGGTCCACTGTGGGGGCACCGGTGGTTCTGTGGTAGGATTCTTGCCTTCCTTGTGGGGAGCCAGGTGGGATTCCCAGCCCATACAACTCCTGGGCACCACCCGTCCGTCAGCGGAGCCTTGCCTGTTGCTCAGATGCTGAACGGGTTTCGGTGCAGCTTCCAGACTCACACAGACCAGAAGAAAGGCCTGGTGACCTCCTGCTGACCGTGGGCCGATGGAAGCCCTATGGGTCACGGCATCCCTCTTCCCTTGTGCACAGCTCACCATAGTTGGGGGACACCCCAAGGGCTGCTGTCACCGAGAAGTCCATCTTAATGAAAGAAACAACACATGCAGCATCTCACTGTAGCCTAGCAGCCTTCCCGTGGGGCACCATGAGGATCTTCAGGCGGACACTGTGGCTGGGGGAGGTGAAGAAGTCTGCCTCAGTAGTACCAAAACATAAATAAACAAACGCCACGAAGCAAGAAAGCACAAGGCGCTCTGGGCGCGCCGTGATTAAGCACTCAGATGCGAAGCAAAAGGTCGGCGGTTCAAACCCACCAGCTCCGCTAGAGAAAGGTGTGGCAGCTTGCTTCCGTGAAAGCCCATGGGGCAGTTCTCCCTAGTCCTCTCCGGTTTCTAGGAGTCCGGACGGACTGGCGGTACACAACAACAACAACAGCAAATAACCACAACGTTTCCCAAGCTCCAAAACCGATTATCGGCTCGCTGCGTGGCGCATTCATCAGCCTGAGAATCCCCAGGGTCTGGACCCGTCTGGGCTCCAGAGGGACCTTACAGATGTGGCGGCCTCCCTCCCCGCACATGCGCACTGCATCGGCCGGGAACACGCCCACCCGCGAGATGCAGACACAAAAACACCCCGGAAAAGCCGGGGCCGGCTTGGAGGGGACCGGAGCTGGCGTTCCCGCCGCGGCCACCTCGCAGGGTCGCCCCCTAGCCACGAGGCTTTGCAACTCGGCGTCCCCAGCCAGGGCGCAGGGGGCAGCACTGAGACACGTCCGTTATTCTCCTCGCAGGTGCCTGTGGGCTGGTTCATTTTTGAAGCCGAGACCTCCTGACCATGCAGGAGTCTTAGATCAGGGCAGGGGACGGGGCGCGCGGGCGCCTGGGAGAAGGCTCCTGGCTCTGCAACCTGACAGTCCCCGCGCCCCCTCCCCCCATGCCAAGACATTAATTCTCACAAGTCGGAGAAAATTACTATGCATGAATGCAAAACGCATGATCAGGAGTAATTAACATGGCTTCATATGCAAATTTTATTAATGCAGAAGTACAAAGTCATTATGCAAATGAAACTTACGTCAACTCTCTTGACAAATATTCATCTCCGAGGCTCAAGTTTCTGCCTCCTATTTATTTATTTAATTTTTTTCTCCCTCTTTTTTCCTGGCCCCCCACCCCCCGGGGAGGGGGCAGAGCGTGGGGGGTGTGGTGCTGGTGGCCGCGATGGCGGCGGTAGCCACGAGGCCTATTTGACAAGTTTACAAAGTTGTTTTTCAACCAGAGAAATTTATTCTTGTATTGTTGATTTTTTTTCCCCCCGTTGTTGGCAGGTATAAGACAGCTCATAGGAGAAGGAGAAAAAAATTAAAAAAAAGCTCTGGGTAGCAGGCAGCCAATCGGAAGCCGGCGCCTGTAATGAGGGC